TGTCTGAAATATCTCCCCCTGGGCTGCTGCAGTGTGCAGTGTGCCACTGCAGCAGTCAGAGGGAGCAACAGTACTGCAGAGGAAAGTCAGACTTATTCTGAGGTCCTCACTGCCACACTACAGGTTTCCAAAAGCACAATGCAGACATATCTGGGTCCTGTGCATTTTCAAATTGACACCATCAAGCCAGTGTAAGTTCCCACATGAACATGTATTTTGCCTTGGCTCCTTATTATCAAAATAATAAGAAAATGAGAGTTCAGAATTATACAGCATTTTTTGTGAAGATTGTACACACATAATTTAAAACTTGGCTTACTCTCTCTGGCTTACCTCACAAAACTACATTTCCACTACTCAGCAGCTGAGCACAGAGGGAAGACAGGATTCAGCAACAATCTGAACTAGAAAGTCCAGCTGCTTTAAGTGTAGGTGTGTGTTTGTGCAGAGGTGGCAGCTGAGTGGTCATGGGACAATAGGGCAGCCTTGCTCTCAACCCAGAAGCAAAGCAGAGCTGGGCCCTCCAGCACTCCTCCCCTGCCAGCACATTTTCATCAGAGGCCAGACATGAAGCACATCAAAACCTACATGAATAACAGAACTCCAGTGAGGCCAAGACAACACTGCAGAGGCAAGTGCCAGAGTGCAGACACTGTCCTCAGTGAAAGCTGACTGCAACCCACAAACTCCCATCCCATGGTGTCCTTGCATTGGGCTGTGACCACTGCTATGGGTGGTGACTCCCACCAGCAATAGTGACCTTAATGACGAGTCAGAAACCAGAGAAAGCCCTCTGTGTTTGACAACGGTTTCTCAGCAGCTAAATTTTATATTGCAAATAAACTAAATGAGTCATCAAACAGCTTGAGTGAAGTTCTCTTAGTCTTCACCAAAGTGCTAATTCCACCTCTCCCCCAGTTTGTTGAGTCAGAATGTCTCTCCCTCCAGCCCTGCTCTGCTGTACACAATCCAGAGAGGAACTGCAGTGTTAATTCTCCTATCACCTCTTTCATGCCTTCAGCCAAATGCCCTCACCTAACCATATGAGTCAGATTTCTGATTATTTTCTTCCTGTGAAAGGGATTTAGTGGATAAACCCCCATTAATATTATAATTCTTATTAAGAATTCTTTGCTAATGAGAGATCTGTGAAACACATGACTAGGCTAATTTGTACAGTGCTTGTTCTCAGCAATACCTGTACTGTGAAGTTCTGGTGTCTATCAATTATCCAAAGCACTGGTACAAATCTGGCATAAACAGGCACAACCCCATTTTCACAGACTTAAGGAGACAGAAGACAACTACATTGCCAAAATCCCATCTTGGCTTCCTAGACTGCTGCAAGCTGCTAACTTCTCACTTTTTCCAGCCGCAAACAGGCAGCTGCTGAAACCTACTTGTATTAGGATCTTCCCACAGAGCAAAGGGTGGGTGGGCAATCCTGCTCTACCTGCTGTGGAGCTGAGCTGCCTCCTCTCCATGAGCACTGAGCAGTCACACACACCATGGTAGTGACAGCATGCTCCCACCAATCTCCCAGTGCATGACTGATGAAGCGAGGACCCTCTCCAGACATCTGTGTGGTGCTGGGAACTCGAGCAGGCTCATGATGCTTTAGGTTCCCTGAGTAACAGGTCTCACATCACTGACACATAGCAACGGGGGCAGCTAAGTGCTTGCTGCTTTTTGTCTTGCTTTTCCAAACAGCCTTTTAGATAAATGGTTCTCAGAAGATCAAAAGCACATCAGAGATGACAGAAGCAGAACACAGAAGCAAAACAATTCAGCTCAGCCACATCCATGCTGGTCCTCTCCAAGGCTTCCAACTCTCCACAGTGCATCTTGTACCTGCAAGCACTAAAGTGCACAAGCCAGGTCAGTGGGTCTGCAAGAAGCCAGGTCCATGGCACCCCTGCTGTGAGCATTCCTTCAACTCCAGCATGGGTGGGACAGCAGAAGTGAAGAAGTGGAACAGGGACTCTTCCAGCCAGGGGCAGAGGAAGTTAAATTCAACAAGGCAGAAGCATTGACAATTTTTAAGTGAGGAACTGAATACAAAATCAACAGGAAGAATTGCAGTAAAACTTCTAATTGGAAATGGCCCTTACTCTGCACTTTTTACTTCAACCAACCTGGCTGCTGCACTGCCTGAAGCAGTGGCTTACACTTTGTGTGTTACTGTGCTCCCAACCATTCAGTTTCCATGTTCCACCCAGCTGTATGTTGAGGTCTGCAGCCTGATTCCCCTTTTGCCATTAACCTGGCAGCCAAACTAGCCATGACTGCACCAAAAGGAGAGGCTGTCCAATGCCAAGGAAAGACTTCCACAAAGGTCAATATATTCTTTGCAGAAAACAGACTTAAAGGCAGGCTAAATTCAATTATTTGTATAACTGGAATATCCTTGTTACAGGACTTGTAACCATAGCAATCACTTAAACAAAGCTTTGAAGAAAATATCCCCTCATTATTAAAATATTGATTCTGATTCAGTTTCTCAATCTCCCTCATTTCTGACCTCAGAGGTGCTGTCTGCCTCCAGGTGTTTTAAAATAAACGGAAATGGAAAACACCAAGCATCTTCAGCTAGTATTTGTGTCTTGTGCCAATAGAATGATGCTTCCTAAATACACAAATACAAAAGGATCAGGTTGTCATGTGGGGATTTGGATGTTTGCAAACATTATAAAAGTAATCAGCTAGCAGGGATGTTTCTCAGAACAAGTCTCAGACAATTAAACTGAGCCTACATTAATCACATTGCAAACACAAAGTATTACTTCAGTTGGAGCCACACTCATTTAAAAGCTCAGGCACTGGAAAAAAGTAAAAAAGAAAATTAGGGGGAAAAGGCTGAAGTATTTGGCAATTGGCAATATACATTAAAGTCTCTTGGTATTATGGCTGGATTATCTTCTATCTCCACAGACTCCATTCCAGAGTTATGACTCTTCTATTAATAGGAGTCATGCAGGCATCACACAAAGGCAGCATTGATTTGTTATTCTGTAACTCTATCTGGATAACCAGGGAGAATTTGTTTTGAAGATTCAGCCAGAGCCCTCTATTAAATGAGTATGTAGCCAGGAAAATGGGACACAGAAACAGTAAGATGGATGTGATGATCTGCACATGCATTTTTCTCACAAGAAAACAAGTACAGTGCATGTTTAACAAAAGGCAGTAGCTCCAGGGTTACATTATATAATGGAGCTGAATGCAAACTCTTCAATATACAGCATCCCAGGAGGTATAGAAGGAATGTATTTTCTTCACGCGAGGCAGGAGACAGTATCCTCTTGAAACATGACTTGAGAGTCCTTCCTGGATGCCACCACAGCTGGTTTGGCTCTGCCAAGTAGCCCATGTGAATTTCAGATCAGGTGGTCTGTGGATTAAGGAGCTATACCAGCTGCTTTAGCTTCTCTCCACATCGCATTCATCTTGGTTGGACATTACTGAATGAAAAGCAAACATCCAGGAAGCTCAGTGACTACATATATTTAAGGCCAAAAAATATTCTTGTACCTAAAACACTGCAGCAGCAGCTGCTCTGTTTTGTATGTCCAGGTGCAGAAGGAACAGAAATTGCTTCACAGAATACTGTCAGAATAGAAATCAAATACAAATGTATCTGTGTGAAACCTGGGCATGTATTTTTAGGTGCGCACACCCACACACATATGCAGCCTGAATAGTTCACTCCCCTCCTCTGACACAATCAGGGATGCCTTCAAGAGGAAAATGAGCCCAGACATGCTCCTAACCCAATCTCCCTGTGCCACCCCTATTTTAACTACATACTGTATCATGTAATGGCTTGGAAGTATTTTTATTTCCGTGACTGTTTCCTTCCTTTACATTCTCACAGTATTACTCTGTTTCTTTTAGCAACACAGTAACACAGATCAAACCTGAAATTCTGCAGTTTAGTGCTCAGTACCAAAGACTGCAGTAATTATGCTAAGGGGACAGTCTCTACAAAACATTAGTTCTCATTTAGTTTTCTCACACTGGCTTAAGGCTTAAACCCTGACCTAAGACCCTTCCGCAAAATACCAATATGGAATTGCTGCAGAAACTTGCAATCAGCTGATGGCAGCTATTTACATTCCCATCTCATGAGCAGATACTCGTATTTTAAGCAGCAGTTATCCAGAAGGTTTTTCACAATTAACATACAGGTTGCCAGTTTCAAGGTTATTCAAACCAGCCGCAGTATCTGCTTCCAAAATTAAACCCGCACAGCTACAGTGGGCTCTTAAAGAGTCTTTCCAAATCCCACCCCATGCCTCCTGAACTGTGGCACTCCTTCTTTCCCAGAAATATTTGCTTTACCTTTTGTATGTTCAGATGGCCTTGATCACTTGCATCCTTCCTGAACTTCTCTGTGGTAATACATAAAGGCTGAAAAATCATGCCATAAGCATATGGAGCAAGGTTTGCCAAAATGGAAGATTTCACGATTAGTCAGACTGCTGAAAAACCTTAGACAGGAAGCAAAGATTTGCAGCCAGGTTTCAGCAATGAAGTGTTCTGTCATAACACGGGAAACCCTTCTGCCCTAGGTGCTACCCTGTTGTGTTCTGCCCTCCAGAAGCTCTTCTGGTATTTCACAGGCATCCCAGGGTACTTTTCCATTAACAGACTCCACCGAGAAGTGAAGGATTCAGCACTCTGTTCTCCATTCAGCCCCACAGGCAGCAGCTGGCACAGCAGACCGGCATTCCTAAAACTGCTCCTGCAGGACTGACTGTGCTACAGGAAGAGCACTTCTGATATCAACAAAGTCAACAGGACTTCAGTCTGGCAAGGTGACACATCACACACACCCCACCATGACCCCTGTAGTACAAGAGTCTTCAAAATGACAACCACAAAGCTCCACTGTAATTGACACCAAAAACCTGGTTTTACTGTGCCCTTTAAACTTAAAGCAACTGGAGTAATTCTATAAAGAGCAGGCGTAAGAAACAGGGAAAGAAGAACCCACACCATCAGCTGTCTGGTATTTATTACTTTTTAATACAGAGAACTCACAACAAAATATTCCTTAACAACACATGTAAATGATATCATAACCAATTATTTTAATTTCATCAACATTCATTTGCTATGTACATATTCTTCCATCTGCAAAAGTGCAATCCAAGAATGTCTCAACAAGAAACCTTTATGGACAAGTATATTTTTGAGGGGTTTTCTCACCAGTGACCTTACAACAATGTTTGTCCTTGGTTACTTGGTACAGCAAAATGAGGAATACATGGGAGGGAGGAAAAAAAAGGAAAAAAGAAAAATATCGGGCTAGCTGCCTCCCGTGTAGGAATATTCAGTATTTTTCCAATTAAACTCATTATGAATACACAGCTCATTACTGGAGATGTTAGTGTAAATAGACTATAAGATAGTCTGTGGTCTGGCTACACAACACTGTAGTTTTAATGACTGCAGCATTAGAACAACAATTTCAGGCTGTTCACGTTGGTTGATGTCAAATTACACATCAGCATGTAAAAGATGTCTATTTTGTTAGTTATGGTTATCAAAATTTATTTGTAGACATCTTAGTGATGAATAAATTCAGCTTTACACATCCAAAATATGAAGTCTACCTAAATGCACGCCTCTCCTATGGAAAGGAAAGTTAACTACTGGAAAGAAAAGCATTTGCACATGCAACTCCTACTGCTATCACAAGGAGTATCGTGCAGTTAAGAAGAGCAGAATGAACCTCCAAATCCAGAGGAGTACATTCTCATTTATAAAACATATTTCAGGCAAATTTAATCTGACAATGGGCCAGCTTAAAAAGAACACATAGCATCAGAGAAAATAAAGGTAATGAAGAATAAACTAGTCAAATAAACAAAGCAAGCTGCTCCCTAGCTTGGGAAGTAATTTCCTTTATGATGTATTTGTAAGCTCATGACTACTTCCAGTGCTTCTCAAGACAGGAAGCAGAGCAACTGTGGTCTAGTTTAACCTCCAAAGTAGCTATTAGGTCCCAAAGAAGGTGCATTTGTACATCTGCTTCAGTAAAGCCCAGGAAATTCTCCTGGTCAAAGGTGAGGGCTGACTGCTTGACTGGAATCTGCATGTTAGAGAAAATCATGCATTTTCCAGTGACTCAAGAGCAGCTTTTAGCACCAACAAGAAGCAGGGAAAGTCTTTACAAATTAGAGATCATTTACTTTGAAGCAAAGTTCAGAAGAACCTTTCTGTAGCTCAGCTGGTTTCCACTGAGGATCATTTTTACAGTGCTATGTATGCTGCTAGTCTCCAGTTGAGAGATGTGTTTTACAAGAAAATATGCATTCCTTAAGCAGTAGGTAAGACTCAACAGCAGAATTAAAAGGAAAAGCTGGCAAAAAACTAAACTGCTTTCTTAGAGATTTGTATGTAATTTCTTGTCAGTGTTACAACTTTAAATGTGCTTTTCCCTTCCCATTTTCTCAGTCTGTTCCATTCCTGGATTTGACTTGGATGTATTACACAATCTCTCAAATACTTACTTTAAAGCTGACCATATTTCCTTTATTCCACATCTACTCATTTTTGATTGCCACACATACTGTCTAGAGAGGCATTCAAGAACTTAAAGGGCAGAACTGCAAATTAAGCTACTCTAAGGGAAGCAAATGAACAAGTACCTAGGACAACTCCAGAGCCCACTTCTCCCCTACCATGTGCACTGTACAGTGACACCTCCTCCCAACACTGTACAAAAAAAGTGGGCACACAATGCCATGTATCCTGTGTGGGAGCTCACACTCCAGACTCATAATGTGTGACTGGCACTGAAGACTGAACCTACAGTAAGAGAAGTATGCTTTAATTGCTCTCTTTAATTGCTTAATTACAGGAGCTTTGTCTTTGTTGTGTGATTTCAGGTCGCTGCGACAGCCACCGTTTTCTGTGTGGTCTGGTTCTCACAGAACTGCCAGGCAACACAACTCCAACCTCATTAGCCACCCTAACTCCAGCAGGTTGCTCAACACACCATCAAAGCTGCAGGGCTCAACCTTCTGGAGGAGTTAATCCAAATTATAATTCCATTGCTCTTCACAAGGGAAGTCTACACTGCACAGCTAATCAGGGTTTATCTGTGAGAAATCTCCTTCCTGCCCAGGTATGCCCAGGCCAGGTCCTGCTCCTAGGGACAGTGGGTGCAGAACTGGTCTCACTGCACCTGGGCTTCATGTAACTTTGTAGTAGCCATGAAAGGATGTTTTATACGTCTCTCAATGTCTTTCTCGTAATTCTCCAAGAAGAAGAAACAGGTTTTCCCAAAACTGTTGCCAACAGGACAACTGCACAAAACCCCAAGAACGTGCTCCAGACCCAAAACCCAGCCCAGGAACTTGCACAAAGGAGAGCAGTGGTGAAGGCTACCACAGCCTGCCACCATGGCTGTTCAGAGCAGCGCTGGACTGCATGAGCTGGGTGGCACCCAAGGACATTGCCACTCAAACTGTGCCAACAGAAGCGTTCTGTGCAGCTTGGGTATTACTTGAAGGGTAGCTAATGCTAAAAAGAGCTAATTCCGCAGTGGAGACAGCCAGGAAATAAAACTCTGAACTCAGCATTTTTACACACAAAGAAACATGGATATTCAACTTGAGTTTTATGTGCACGATAATTTCTTAATTCGGTAGAAAGTGTAATTCTCAATCCAACATAGGAAAAAAACACTATTTTGGCTTCTGACTTTTTTGTTTTCTTTCCCAGGATGGCAGACTATCAGGGCCATTTTTAAGACCATGATTTTAACAGATACACTCTAAAAAGATTCTAATTTGGAAAAACAAAAGACTTCAGAAGAAACAAAAAATAATCCCACCATGTAAACAGAAAAAAACCCCCACACTTCTCCAGTGGACAAACACTTCATAAATACACTACCGAGAAAAGCAAAAAAAACACAATGTCCCTTAAATCTCAACCGATCTGAGAAACCAAGCAAAAGATTAATGACCTATTTTGAAAAATTTATTTAAGGAAGGGCGAAATGGGAGTCAAGAAAGAACAACTGCAGAGTCTACAGGGCCAAGCTCTCTGATACAAATTCACTGCTTAATGCAGTCTATTATGTACAGCACAGAGGCATGTAGAAAGTAAATATGCTAAGTTTGCTTTCTTAAAACATCTCCTTGTTTTTAGATCCTAGACCGAACACAATTTTGAAAGGAGAAGATGCAGCAATTAATTGTTTTAAAAAGTGATGACAAGTTTTGTACTCAGTACCTGTGGGTATTCTCAGTTCAGTCAGAGAGAAAACAAAGGTTTCTAACCAGGCAGAAGTCTGGGAAACAGTTGAGAAAGAATGTAAATAATTCTTTATCTCTCTTGTTGTTCACATTGTTTATAGATAAGTTCTGCCACTGTGTCATTCACTGCACACCAATGGATGAGATGTTTTTACTTCAGGACCAATAGAATGGGTCGAGACTATACTCTCTATAAAAGAGAGATGTATTTGAAATAAATCAGTTTTACTCTCAAACCTTCTGATGTGGAATCCTTTCATATCATCCTGCCTCAACAGTGTCACAGTACCTGTAAGCTCATACAGGTCTGAGGGCCTAGACCCCACCTCATGGTTCTCCTTCCACACCAGCCTGCAGCAGACAGTAAAGCCTCAGTCCCAGCAGGCACATACAATCGCATCCCCGTTCAGCTCAGACAGCTCCTTCCCTAAAATGTCTGTGAAGAAATACCTTTAAATAAAGCATTTTGAGATCTCCAGCTTGTTTTGGTATGAGCAGGTGACCCAGCTGGGCACATGACAGCCCTGTTGGAAGCAGCACTACTGCCTGCACTATAAGTCAGTGAGGGCAATGCACATCAAACACACACAGCAGGAAGACGCGATGCCGAAATAATTAATTCAAGATTGCATTTTCTGGCACACGTTTACATTCACTTGTCATGATACCTCAGTTTACCCTGGTCATGGGAAATCTGAAAGAAAGCCTGCCGAGGGGACTGGCAACAAAAGGCCAGCTCCTGCACCCCTGGGAACCAATGCAAAAGCCTGAACGAATTCAACAGCAACAGAAACATTTCTTTCCAAGGATTTCCCATTTCCACCAAGCTGGAGGAACAACCCTATGCAATTACCCATTTTCCAACTGGACATATTTCTCTGTCCTTTATGTCTCCCCACACCCTTCCTATAAACTGTATTACAACTATACAAAAAATAAACCCAAATGATTTTTTAGCTGAACTTTACCCCACACACGGGATATATTGAAAGGCCATTAAATTGGCTTGCCTCCAACCTTCACAGAGATCTTGTCAGGAGGATTCTGGTTTTAACAACATGTATATATACATATTAATATGTACACTGACAAAGAAGCTGCTTTTTCAGTTAGAAAAGAAATTAGATTTCATCACAGAATGAATCCTATAAAAAGATATGTAATAAAGTTGAAATACCCATAAAATAGCTATTACTAAAGCAAAGCTTTCGTCAATAAGCCTCCAAAACTTTAAATGAAGAAAATGGCTTCACAAAGTGGTAGTCTAGATTTCCACAGTGAGGACATTGCTGGACGTTGCTGTATTCAGAGAAATACTGCATGCCAATCCGCACATCTATTACTGGCTTCCCACAGTGCTTACAGTTCAGTCGAGCCTGTAAAAAACAAAGAAACAAACAAAAAAACCTTTTTGAAATAACCACACTCCCCTTAGCTTCTCACCTCTGGAAAAGAAGGTGCCAGAGGCAGTCCCCTGTGCCCCCTAGCAGGAGAAGGGGTCAGTCAGGAAACTGGCAGTAATGGGATGTGCTGGTAAGGACATTCCTCACCTGGACTGGGAACTTGCAGGCACACACCATGCCTTTCAGATTAAAGACCACCACCAAATTCTGGGGAGTGAGTCACCTCCCAGCTCTGACTGATGGAAGGTAGAGAATATCAAGGTTTATTTTGTGCTGCTTAATCTCTGAATCAATACCTCAACCCCCAGCACAATACGCGGTGTCTCAATAGAAGCAAAGAGAGAAATTTCATATTTGCGCCATGCAATTCAACCATTTAGGTTGACATTTGAACATCATCTGTCTACAAAATGCATCAGCATTTTAATCTTTTGGTTTAACAAACTTATAACTTGATCTACTTTATCAGTACAACATGGTATTGTGTCACTTTAAGTGTCTATTTAAACATTTATAATACATATCAGGTTATACAAACTAAACATCACTTCAATACACAAACTATTCTACAAGCTACAACTGAGAAAGAAGCAACATTAACTGGGTGGATATGAGAAATAATTCAAGGTCATAGGTGAGGATGGACAGAGCTATTAATATTCAGCTCTTGCAAAAAAAGTGAGACTTCAGAAGAAATCTAGCTGAGAAACACAGGCCATCTGATACAAAGAAAGCAACAGGCAGCATGAAAGCACAGCAAGCCCTTTGGAATAATCAAGAGAAGCAGAAAGGATTTGAGACTGTAAAGAAGTTAAAGAGTAAAAATGAGCAGCGAGGGCCTGAGCTGCACCATAGTTTAACCTCACAGCACAGTACACTAATGAAAGCTTCAGCTCTCCACTGAAAAGAACAAAAAGTATTGTCTAGGCCATCTTGATTTAAGGGATTTTCCTGGATGAGGCGAGGAGGAAATTATGAAAGTACTATCCCTGTTGAGACCAGACTCAAGAAGAAAAAAATCAAAAGCTTCACTGTTATCTGCTCTGCTTGAAAAGCAAAAATTTTAAGAAATACAATCTACTAGGTTATTAATTTTTATGGAATTCTTAACCAAATTTTTTTCCTTTACTACTGTCCAGCTCATCAGTTAAGAGTTAGTAATCTGACAGTGGTTCCAGTTTATTATTCTACATGCAAATTTGTGATGTAGAATTAAGTATTTTGAAGTAAGGCATGAAATTATTCAAAATAAATCCAGAAAGGCAAATTGGAATTATATTACATACCATATTTAAATGTCATTCTTCTGTATACACAGAACCATCTGTAACAATCATGGTGAAACAATAATGCTTATTATCTGGCAATCACAGCCACTGCAGCTAATGCTTTTACAGCGAGCTGTTATACCATGTACTGTCACACTGTCCATTAATCATGTAATTAAGGCTCTTGTATAATGAGCTCTTAAATATCTTCTTGTACATTCAAGAGAAGCAATTCAGATTTGAAGCTGCTGACTTTTAGGTAGCAAGTTAGTACCAGAGCTTTCCTTACCTTTATAAGTTCCTATTTTTAGAAGAAAGTTACAGCCTCAAAGTTACAAGAGACACTAAATTTGGAAGTAATGTATCAGTCTGTAGCTGTAATTGCTACCAATGTCACCTTAACCAATAGCAGCAATATCATTTCTCTTTTGAGCAACACATTTTGGTAAATATATTAAATTTAAAATAAATGGTTCATTTGCATACTGACAAACTAGTATTCCAGATGGCTTTAAAGTATGCACATTACCATGAAGTGATCCCAGTTTGAATGGGTGTATCTCTGCAAGGCTCCCCTCCTAACCCACTATCATCATCTGTGTGTCCCAGCAAGCATCTGGAGTGGAGCACTGAGGCATTCCCAGGCAGATGTTTTTTCACAGCTGCCTACCCCTACCTGCACAGCAGAAGTGCTCTGTCCATTACGACAGTTAATTCTCTGGAATGCAAACAACCCGCTGTCTCAGGCACACTATGGAGTAGCCCCAGGCCTTGGATCTTCCTCTCTCAAGGCACAGATTAGGCGAGTGTTTAATGAACACAAAGTTGCATCAGGCTATGGTGGGTGAGTGCCATCACCAAGGTCAGCCACAACAAAGATTAAGGAGAGCTGAGTAACCTCCAAGCACAAAGACATTTTGGACCTTTCTGTTCCCTTGGCACTTTTTTGCTACAATTATGATAAAACACAATTTATGAACTAAAAAACCCTGGAAACATGAAACGTCTGCTCAAAATGTGGAACTATACCTGACACTATTGATGCTAGTGATAAAGCATCAGATTTAATTACCAATGCATTTAAAGGGGGCTTTATTTAAAAACTTAAGTGTATTAACCACTGACCCTTGCAATTACTTTAGCCTAGCTAAAGGCCATTGTACCTCTGAAGACTAAGGGACAGAGACCTGTCAGCCCTCCTGTATTGCACTCATAGCTACAGGCTTGAAAGGAAGGATGGAAGGCGCAAAGGGAGAAAAGATACACAACTTGACTTTATCTAATCAGTTAGAATTTCACCTTATGAGTCTTACTTATGTATGGTACTAACCTGACAACAGGGAGATGCTGCCAGAATATCGTAGGTATACATAGTGCCCAGCTGATGCCAGCTTCCATCCCATCGGGACTTGCACTTAATGCAGATAATTTTGTGAACCCCTTCTAAGCAGTCTACACAAACAGCATAGAGGTGCATAAGCCTTCCTGTGGACAGAAAAGACACATCTTAAACAGCAGAAAAGATTAAAACAAACATATTCTGCAATGTGATATCTGACCTTTAGTGATACAAATCACTTTTTTTTTTCTCTATAAAGACTGAATGATAAAGTAAAAAGTACTTCTCTATAGGAAATACACAGGGCTTGACTGAAGCTATGCAGCACTCAGGAATTAGTCATCACCGTGCCCACTCTCCCTTACATCATTTGCTGGTAAGTCAGAATATTTTATAAAAGGAGTTGCTAAACCTCCAAGAAGTGATGCCAGGTTAAGCTGTAAAATCAGCCACCGTGTTTCCAAAACCAGAATATTGCCCTAGCTTCAACCCCACCTGACACAAGAAGTGGAGAAGTGCTGAATCTTATTAGCAAACTTGGTACAGATTAATTTAACAAGTTGCTGGTATCTTCCAGCAAAGAGGGAACCAACGACCTAATTAACAGTCCCCATGGAAAAGAAGCAACAGTCAGAAGAGCAAATTTTTTCATGTACTTTCTTCTGACTGCTCATTAACAAGTATATTTACATTATATACAGCACATACAAAGACTTTAACATGCCATTCAGAACTATCAATATAATGAGCTCTGTCATCACCTTAGGCTCTGTATGCACAATGCTTTCAAAACCTGAGTTACATTTATGTCCATAAAAAACAAGTGGTTCACACTTGGAAATCAAATATTTTCACTACATACATGTAATTGAACTAACCAATGCAAAATCTGAGACTGACTTTCACAAAAAAACAAAATTTCAACATAAATTATAAAGATCTGGTACCAAGATTATGCCTGACTTGTATGACTAAATTGATTTTCAATTTAATTGTTGGCTATTAGAAGTGGCCTGACACCAAGTACTAATCCTATAACATACCAGATTTTGCACTGCTATGTAAGACAGAGCTAAGCAGTAGTGAAATTACAGAACAGCAACAAAACAGGACTGTGCTCAACATGTGTTCACCTTGGATTGCAATTTATGCTCTTTAGCATCAAAGCACTGAACACATCACAAACTGTAATTCAACATACCCATATCTTGTAACTCTTCTACAAAAATGGGAACAAAATATTAGTAATTTATGATTAGTCTATACCAGACACAAAATTAATAGTCTGTGTTTTTACTTGTTTTGGTTTTTAAGCCAACTATTTTAGAAAAACAAGAAAAACAGATTCTTCTTAAAATATACATACAAAACACACTTACTAGTGTGAGCTGGTAAAAATTTAGTTATTCTACACTGGCATGTTCAGCTCTAGAAAACATGATGGGATGAAATTAAAATGTATGTAATATACATATAACATATATAATTAACTCTGTTACTAAAGTGAACACTCAAGATTGGTAATCTTCAAACAATTCCATGCACAACCGTTGTGTCGAGCAGGAAAATAAATATCTTTCCCCATCTGAAGTTCTGCACCATTTTTGGCACTTTAAAATACTACATTCCCCCACCATTTAATTTTCAGAATACTTTTTGTATTGGAAATGAGGCAATATCTTAAACATGCCTGAAGTAACACAAATGACTCTGTACCGAAAAGAAAATAACAGCCTGGAATAGCACCTTGAGCAGCTTAATTTCACTTCAGAGAGTACTTCTGTTAAAAAAACCATCTTACCCAGGACAAGGAAGCAAAAATTTTAACAATTAATTATTCACAGCAACTTGTCTAAACAAGTTTTTCAGATATACCATCCAACAGTTAAGAAATAATTAAGGTAAAAAAATAGTTTCACAGTTTCATTCGTAGAGGCAAATGTTAACAAACAATGAGTTTCACTATTATTACTAAAGCAGCTTTTTATACTGAAAAAAATCAAAGCATATTGTGTGACTCCCCATCAAAGCAAGTAAGCATAGCTATCTCACAAAGGTATATTCTGCTTATCCTGGAACTTTTCTGGCTTGTATATTTGCCAATTGTTTTTTCCCCTTCAGGTACATTAGGCAAGACAGAAACAATAATGTTAGCATGAATACAGTTTAGTGACTTAGTGCATAGTGATTTAAGGAAAAAAAAAAAAAAATACAAAGTTTACTGAGCAAAGGTATGTTACATAACACATATTATGACCATGCATGGTATACAATGTATTTTATTGAAAGGTGAGAAACTTTAATGTTAAAATACCTCTGGTTAATCCCTTACCAACACACTTTCCAACATATAATTCTATGCTTTTGGCCACCAGACTTGGAATACATTCTCTGACTTATTTTAGCCATGCTGACTGCCAACAGGTTGCAGAACAGGCACATCCAGCCATGTACCACCCTGATCACTTAAATTTGGGCCACAGCTTTCAGGAACAGCTGAAGCTCATGCTGGCCCACATCCATTTGTCTCTCTAAGGAAAAAAGAAACACGTGCTATGGTCTCAACTCATCTGAGAGGTAGGACATAATCAAGACACAGTTCAAGCACCTGCAAGTTTGGAAATAAGTCTAAAACCTTCACTGCTACCCTGCCTCTTTAACACACCATATTAAAACCTGACTCTTACTACATCCAACCTCTCCAGGCCTGTGTTAATGCAGGCCAGACTACAGCCTTTTCTGTATTTAAGAAATAATACTTTGCTATAAAATAAAACTGATACTCTAGTCTGAAAGCAGATGAGAGGTACATCACCCTCATCAGTGGTACAAACACAATTTCCATGCAGGCTGCAGCACAGCAGAAAAGGTTCTTTAAAAGGCTGATGTGCATTTTGGAACAAAATTCCCAAGAGATACATGAGCATGCATAAGCTCCAGAACAGACTGGCTGGAAAAGCTTCTCATGGTCTACCTAGAAATCGGATCAGAACTTGTTTAGTTGTAAGCCCAAACACAAGGCATGTAACTTTCTATATGGCATCTTTCTGTACAGCATTCTAAGGGTTTCAATCTGATCCACGTGAATATTTTGGACATTACTTCAAGCTTTACAGAACTGCTTAAAAATACACGACCAGGATGAAAATCTGTAATGGCAGGGACAGGGTACAGAAGGCAGTTCCATCATTTAATGAAACCTAGTATGACTGACAGACAACCTGTACCTTGAAGGTGACAGGGAACATCATATTCAATCTCATCATGTCTTGACGGGCTAAGGAACAGGGTCCCATCCACCAGCGGAAACTGTTCAAACACTGGCAGCGCCCTGTGGCACAGAGCACAGTTTACAACATTCCTGTGGCTGGCACTGAGAGCAGCAAGGATGAACTTCCGAAGATCCTCCCCTTGGCCCACCTGGGCATCGTCTTCCATTCGCACATGGAAAGTATTCAATTTATGCCTGGGGATGTGAGTGAGCAACTCGGATAGATCGAGCCTTCTCAGAAACTGCACTGGGGTATCGAAGTGTCCTGATCTATGTGCCTGCAAGCCAGCTGCCCCGTAATCAAAATGTGCATTCCTGAACATGCCCCCACCAGCCATGTTCTTCTTATGGGGCTCCAGGTGAATGGCATTCTTCAAAAACTCTCCCAAGTATCGCGAGGAACGAGGGCCGCTGAAATGCGTGGGGGCGAGGATAGAGTAGCCAGTGGGTGGGGACTGGCCAGGAGAGACACAGGGCGAGCGAACAGCGTAGCTGCCACCCATGACACCCTTCTCCTGCGAGTTCTGCCTGTCCATAGAGTGCCTTCGCTGCAGGTCATTACTCAAGCCTTTCTGCGGCTTATTAGCCGGCCTGCCTTTTTTGGCCTCCTCTGCAGATTCTGTCATGGACCTTCCCGTACTCTTCTCCAACACTGATTTCTTCTTCTTGTCATCTTGCATTCGCTTCACCTGGTACCAGTCCGTGTCCTTCTTTAAATGACCCTGCCCACACCGACAGGAGCAAAACCGAAAAGCCAGGTCGTATCCCTTCTTGGTCCACATGTTTTGGCGACACTGCTTTTCGTTCCAACTCCTGGCTCTGCCAATGCAATTGAACTGGACAAGGATGCTGCTTTCCCACTCGTAGAAGCACTGAAGGTGCATCCAAGTACTGTAGGGACAATGCTCGTTGTTGCATATAACCTTCTGGTAGTCATCCTTCTCCAGGTCCACCGGCCTCCCGAAGCTACAGATCAGTGGAGTAGCACAAGGGGCTTCTGTAGAAAGTAAAACAGATACAATAATAATTTAATAGCCCATTTTTTGCAGTACTTTCTTTAAACATTGTGACAAACACATGCAAGCTCTTACTAATAGCCTGTATTACTAAAGGGCCACAAGCATCAGCTCTGGGTCGGTGCAAAAAAGCAGTACTTGCCAAAGAGAGATAAGCATGTGAAAAGAGAAAAGGAAATACACAAATAAAGAAACAAGATGACACTACACTCTGTTTAATATTCAAATACAAAGCACCTCAGAAGCATTAGCCCTCAAGCATTTGTGGATACTGTTGCAAGGTGTTAAGAAGGAAGGAGAAAGCATTGTGAATGTTTCTGGAGGGCTGCTTTGAAGCCGGAGAGGCAACATGGGAAGAACACACAGAGATGTCTGCTTGAAAAACAGATACGCAATACATGTAAGTAAGCAAGTAAGCCCAGCTTTGCAATTATGGGGAGAGGCAGGAATTTATCTTTTCTGAGAGAAAAGAAATTTCTTTTTTGTGGACTGAGCAAGAGACAACAGCTAGGGAGAAAATGAGGGAGCAAAGTACGACAAAGAGCTTACATTCCTAGTACAGAAAGACGGGCCTTCATAACATTGCTTAGGCAAATACAGACTTTATCACCACCACTGACCTTCTGGATAGCTAAATTTGAGAAACCAAACAGTTCTGCAGCACAGACAGGTGAAAAAAAGCCAAATGCAATAGCAGCTTTGCTATATCCTTGAGCAAAGAATAGTTTACTTCAATTATCTCACAGCAACAATATCAGCTTCCACATTAAAAAATACTCTACAAAAGAATTTTCTATATTTACCAACCAATGACATTCTCCAGTTTCTCACCAAAGTACCACAGACTACCATATGACTCCCATTGCTGGCTGCTCTGTTGCAGCTGGGAGGCTCAACAAGATTGGAAATTTTCTGCTGCAGTTTTTGTAAGAACTTTTTAGATGCTGTAGCAGGTTGACCCCCACCACAGATGCTTACTCTAGTAATACAAATATTTCTTCTCTGTATTTCTGTCTTCCTAACTATTCTGCTTGATCAGAAAGCACTGATCCAACAGGGCTGTCAGGTTGCCTTTTAACCTTTCTAGGCTGCTTTCAAATACTAGCAGGCTTCTTCCAGGTCTTCCATGGTCAAGTGCTGTCTCACCCTATCTAAAACACAGCAATCAGCTTCCTGAAGTTCCCCTGAAGTCTCAGCCAGAGCCCCAGGACTTACGGCAGAGGTGCACAGAGTCTTAAGGAGACAGACTGCCATGACTGAAGTTTTTTCCCCTTTGGACTTTAAATTTCCATCTGATAAGCAGGTTAAAAAAAAACACCACTCTGTTGCATTGTTTTTAATCCCATTTTTATCACTGCTTGCACAAACAACTCTGCAGAACTTGCAGTAGAATGAGAGGTTTTATGCTCCTAGATGTACTTTGACCCGACTCTCAGTAAGAGACCCACTATCCATCACCTGTCCTACAGCACTAATATACAAATCAGATGCTCTACAACAACAGATCTTTGCTGCGCTAGTGGTCCCTTTCCCAGCAAGTTTTTGGAAAAGGCTATAAACAAACAGAATGTTCAAAGCTACCTTCAATAAATTCAAGATTACCGAAGTTCTTAAAACTTACTTATACCAAAGAAAGAGGCACAAATTGCACAGAAAAACTTTCCTGAGCCATCCCCTGGAAGATGCCACATCCTTCACTTAATTTCTCTGTCTCGATTTCTAATGCCAGAAGTGACACACTTACAATAATAGTTCTTCTGCAATACCTTTCCTTCAGGGAGTGGCCTGTAAATTGCAAGCAGAACACATTCCCAAAAGCTTTCCTTCAAAGATGAAAAAGTCTATTTCATTTCAAAATATGGACTTTTCAGTCATTAAAAACAAATTACCAAATTTGAGAGAGCAGGGGAGAGACATGAGAGGGTTTTCCTGGATACACTCTGGAAATCCCTTCTATAATGCAACAAATATTTTGGTTTTGGTTGTCTTGCATCTTTGAAAAGCCCACTAAGAACTTACAAGTTTGGAGATGTCTTTGAGAAGCAACAATTTTATTGGCTACCAGTGACTAATTTTTCCTCCACTCTTTTATTGAGTGTTATTAAGTATAATGTTGCTATTATTTACAAATGTTGCTGGCCAAGAGCAGAAGTGAGTAATAACTTACCTGCTCTGAAACACAATCTGTCAGTTTAACAGTTGAGAGTTTTTTTCCCCCCCATTCTCCCAGACTTCAATTCAAGACACTACCACAGCAAGCATCTCTGAAAAGCTCTTCTTCATTGTCAGTCTTTCCTTCATCATATTTAAGGTCTGAAAGTATAGTTCACAATTATAGCATCCTTATGTAATTAAAGGCCAGTTAAACTGAACCCATGAAGGGCAAATTGTCAGAAGTCATATGTGAGGCAAGGTACCAGAGGCACCAATATGAACAATTCTCATTTATGCATTTCCTTTATTCATCTATTTTGGTAGCTATTCCTTTCCACCATTACAAGAAGGCAACAAAAAAAAGAACATGCCAAAAATCCACTTACACTCTCACTGTGTTTCAGAGAGTAAATGTTCTAACAGTTACAGGTATAATTATAGCTGACAGCTGAGAAAGTACTACACAGACAAGTCTAGAATTGCATACAGACACTATACTTGTTCATCCATACCTGCATAGTTAACTGACTAAAAAAAGGAAAGTGTTTCCTTGATCAGCCTTTGAACACATTTTTGAGTTTGTATGCAAAAACCTATGATCTCAAGTTCCCTGAAAAGTTTACAGACTCTTCTTCACTATGTGGACAAAAAATTAAATTAATAAAACAAGTGACTGCAATACAAAAACCATCACCACATGTATTCCAGAAAATAAGTCTGCAATTACTTAATTATGATCATGTACTCAGTGTCTAGAGGCTAAAATAAAGGCGACTTTCAACAGACTTTTTTTTTTTTTCCCTTTTCCTAGTCAGTCAATGGAAATACTGTGAAATGAGATCTTCTCCAGTTTCTCCTTAAAAATTTACAGACACCAGATTACCTGAGGAAATTCCCACACAGCAGAACCACAGGCAAGAAAAGGCAAAGCTGCAACTTCTGGACAGTGATGTCTTCTTCAACATTTAAGTTAACTGGATGATTACAAAGTTTTCACACATTCCCTCATCTGATCTGCTATCTACAGTGTGATTTGGCTGGTCACATAATCACCACAGCAAAAGCAGGTCTAGAGTAGCCGGAAGACATAGAATTAACAAAAGCCTTCCATCATGCAAAAGACCCCAATAAACTGTTAAATGGTGGCACTGAAACTACTTTGGAAAACATTGTGAAGAGGAGAAGCTGGTGTCTACTCACCTCTTCTGAGGACTCATCTGACATTTCACTGCTGTCACTGTAGCTGCATAGGAAATACTCCAGAAAACTAAGAGGTCTCTCTGCCATGTGGCCATGCTCCACAGCACAGGTTATGCCATGCGACTCAAAGCACCTGCTTTCACTGATGCAGATTTGCTTTCATCAAGTCTGCTGCTTTGAAGAAGGCCCTGATTAAACTGCTGCAATATTTCCACAACAGAAACTGAGAAGCCCGGTATGGCTAATTTAAGCCGTCTCAGTAGAAAGTTCTACTGCTTTCTGCAGTTTTCCTCTATTTAAAAAAGCAGAAAATTCCACTACCTGAAAAGCATACAAAAACCTCAAGCCAACATTTGCTTTTGCCACACATCTCAAATTATCTGTACAAAACAGACTGTGCAGGACCAAACATCCCTTGCAGACTTCTCTGTACCCATCACTCCTGCCAAACATAACCATGCCACATGTTCCTCCGTAAAGAATAAATGAGAAACAGAAAACAGCAATTTCTGTGCAATTTTCCCAGTTCATGGCAACCAATATGCCTTAGAAGCAAAAGAGACAGCATTCAGATCACTATGGCAGCCTCTTTTTAGGTAATGTGAAGAGCTCTTCCCATCAATTCACACCCTTGAAAGTGGTCTGGGTTATTTAATCACCATTTTATAAATGAGGAAAATAATTTTTGTCAGTATTACAATACTTGAAAAAATTCTTGTTATCCAGCCCTTGTACTTCCCATAATTAGAAATAAATTTTAAGATATTCTTCAAAAGGTCAGAGCTCGAATCATTATCCTAATGTTTTATGATGACAGTGTTAACGATTACTGTCAAGAGCGATTATGATGGGAAGTAAATAGAAATTACATGGCCAAACTGCCCATCCACACCTATAGCCCCAAGCTGGTTTGTCACCTAAATATAATTTGCTTCCAAGTAGCTAACAGCTTAACAAGTTTCTGATTTCCAAAGCTATGTAACTGAACTTCAGGGAAAATTAAAGATTACACAGTATCAGAGCAACATCTAATCTTCCAGCAGCTCCTTTCAAAAGAATGCCAAAATAATGATAAAAGAATTTCTATTTAACTCTCAGTTTCAAGATGGGTTTCACAGCCTAAGAGAACAAAACAAGACAGCGTGCAGTTTTGTGTAGCAGAACAGCTTCAACGTAGGCTGTCAAGTTGCAACTACAAGCGCATGCTGCTTCTTTCAATACATTATGTTTCCACATTAAAAAAAAATAAATGTTTTCTCATATTCCTCTGTAGTGGTTTGGAACAGCAATTTTGAAAATAGTTGGAAGGAGCAGTACATAAATGTCTTCTAAAATAGAAATAACATACGACATTCCAAACACACGTACGTACATTTGTGCAAAGATAGCTCACTGTTTAAACAAGGTTGTGTTTTATGTTTGACAGAGTCACCATAAAATTAACTTTTCTTTCAAAAATGAGAATATGACAGAAGACTGCAAGGAACCTGGATTGGTTTTTCTGGCTTTTTGTCATTTTTTTTCTGTTGAGGTTTATAAACATCCATAAAAGCCAGGAATAGGAACAGAAACAGAACATCTGAGAAATACCTCTTTCAGCAAAAAAAATCTCACACAAACTGGTTGT